ATCTATATCTATATCTATATCTATATATCTATCTATATCTATATCTATATATCTATCTATATCTATGTCTATATCTATATATCTCTATATGTATCTCTAGCTATATATATATATATGATGTACATTTTAATTTTATAAATATTTCTTTAGATGAAGGCACTGGGACCTATTTATTTATATCGTAGATTAGGTAAAACAAAATTAATCTTGTTAAGAGCTGAGAAGGAGAATTCTAGCAATCACAAACAAAATAGCCAACATCCTGGAAAGAAAAAAGTAAAAAAAAAAAAAAAGTGAGACAATACGAAATGCGATTTCATATTGCCGAGATAGAACACATAAACACTCAGATCCAGTAGGATAGGGTTGTGTAAAATGGGTGAGTGAGGGAAACAGGAATGAGGAAGTTGCTGCTCATCCCCCCCAGGACGGTAAATCTCCAAAAGTGAGTTTTGAATTGTCAGATAGTTTCCAGAATAGAGAGACACATTCCGAGTTTGATGTACAACACAGGATTCTATAATCCAGTCCTTAATGTGAACGCTGGATTCCTGTCTGCAAAGATTCTATTGTGTTGAAATATGAACTCATTGCTGCCTCAACCTAGATGATCTTTTCTATCTGTCCACCCTCTGAGAGGGCAAATGAGTGACCCTGACAATAATGGAAGTGGCCAGAAACAATCTTAATATTATCAGGGAATTCATCCCCCGACACCAGCCACCAATCCCCCGTGGTACCTGCTACATGAAAGTGCCCCTCTTATAATCAGCCTGTCTCATGTGCTTGTGCTGCCAAAGGGGGTGCCCCTAAAGGCACTTAAGGGATTTGAAGGGTATATGGTTACAGAATCAGTTTCCCATTTGAAGGATTTGTATCTTGCACTATGTCAGTGTTTGAGGAAGGAAAAAAAATACCCAATATACTTGCATTTACAAAAACTAGAGAAAAGCCGCCTTCTCCCCTCTCCAACCTGATCTTAAACAATTTATGCAGTATTAATGTCTACAACCTGCTTTCTGATGTCGTTTATAATTTTTCTTTTTTCCCCTTTCTGATTGGACAATATTATCTAGACTAGTTATAACAGCCAGCGCAGCGTCAGGTCCTCTAATTTATGTGTTAATGTGATGTTCTGGAAGCTTGATGTTAAAATGATGAATATCACCTGGAAAAGAGATTGGATGAGAGCAAAAGAACTGGCAAGTTGCCTTCTGGAAATAGCTTTCGACTTTATCAAACCGTGGGGTAACATGTCAGATTATATTACGTATGATTAATTATTAATGCCGGCTGGGCCTTATTTCAAAAAGCACAAACATGCACTTCCAATGCTTTGCTTCCCATGGAATATCTGCTGTGTCCTTCAAATTGAGCAGCAAAATATCCCTCACAAAACACCTTAAGGCTTCCATTTCTCCAGATTTAGCATGCATCTTAGACAAGAAAGCTTTCACAAGCCTCCTTGCCGCGGACAAAACAGAGATGTGTTTTTGCTTAATTAAAATTCTTTTTTGGCAACAGATGTCCTTGCAAAAATAGCTCAGAGCTCGGTGAAGCATTTTTATAGGCTGGAGTTCAGCAATGAGGAGCCCGTCATCTGCCTTCTCTGCTCTGAGAGCAACACAAGAGACCAGGTGGCTGGTCACAGTTTGAAAAGTGAACAAATGTATTTATTCACTCTGAGCAATTTGCAACCCACTGGGAGAGCAGGAGCCCTGGCCCAGCCCCTAGCGTCTGAGAACAAGGACTGTGGGAGAAAGGGGCTGTTTAATTGCTTCGCACCGTCTCTCTCACTAAAGCAATTAGCACCCAGAGGAAAGTCCAGAGAACAACACAGCCAGGCCTCACACCCGAGTGGTGGCCTGCAATCGACCTGCCTGCTGTCCAAGCACACGGACGATTCAATCAGTGATGTGAGCATAGGCTCCCTGCTCCACTTCCTGGCTTGCTGCTAGTGAAATGCTTTCTTCCTATTCCCAAGCTCCTAATCCATTGAAGAACTAGTGCACTGTGGGTGGAAGCTCATCAGCTTCACACCTAGCTCACTCTAGTGGAAAATAAAAATATCTTAATAAGCTTGAGAAGTAAAAGAAGACAGCTTAGATGTGTACTCAGGACTCAATGACGGCTGAATGGCAGGTGAGAAATCAGATAAACCTACACAAGTCAACGGGCTAAGCATCTGACTGGGGTGGGAACCAGGTCTTAAAATAAATCAGGCAGAAGGACATAGAATTTAAAAAATAAATAAAAAAGATACCTGCTAAGGATTCTGTCTGTGGGACAAATAGTTGCTATGCATGACAACATTGGTAGAAATTATGTGAATAAATTTTGCGTGCATGTTTTTTGTTTTTTTTTATTTAGCCACAAGGCTAGGTTAGAGCAAAGCATTCTGTTTATTTTTGGGGTGTTCTGTCATGGGCTGAACCAGAAAATTCAATAGAGCACAGTTCATTAATTAACCAAGATAATCACATAAAGTTATATTTCATGTTAGTTAATTTTCCTGATAACTGAAGATTTTCTGAGATTAATGTCTTTCTAAAATATTTAACTACATTTTTTCGACATAATTCTAAAGTGTATTATACACTTTCTTGTGTGTAGACACTTCCCTTGTGCCAGTCTAGAGATCACTCATCGTTCACAGAGGGAAAGATTAACAAATTATTCTCTTCTGCCTTTTGTGCAAATTGTGTACATTAGTGTTCTCATTGTGGTTAAGCTACTTTTTTATATTGAAAATATATAATTTTAAAAATCTTACATCCTTGCATAGGGATGGCACCAAAATGATTCATTCTTTAAAAAATGAGGAAGTGGACCGGGTTACTGAGCAAAATTATTCATGTGTTTATTTAACAACTATTTAGTGATCATTTACTCTGTCAGGTACTATTTTAGGAGCTGAGGATTCAGCAGTGAACAAAACAAAGTTCTGGATATAATGAAGCTTGCATTTTAATAGCAGAGATAGGCAACACAAAATTAAATTCATATGCACTACATCATCACATAGAGTTAAGTGCTAAAAAAAAAAAGAAAGAAATAGGGTAGGGAAAGAGATAAGGTGGTCAGGGAGAGTCTCTCTAATTAGGTGACATTTGAACAGAGCTCTGGGTGAAATAAGGAAGAAAGCCATGTAAATATGTGAGAGAGGAGAATTCCAGGCAGAATTATTGATTGGGAAACCATTCTCCATGACATTTCTACAAGTCTTGCAATTATTTTGTTTGAAACTTCTTTTAAGGATATTTGTAGAGCAAACAGACTTGGAAACTAGAGATAGTGTCTCCCTCTGGGGCAAAGAGCGAATCTGTGTATGACCAGGACAACAAAGACCATTTCTATCTGCTCGGCAAAGGTGGAGCAGTTTTGCTGGTAACCACTTTTCAAGATTGAGGTTTTGGAAACTCAGTTTAAGGCTGGGACATCAACCAGACTGTTATGTGAACACCATCTACTTGGACTTGCCTTTGCAACACCCCCATGGGACTTGGGGAACAAGGGGAGCTGGTGTAAACAAGAAATTCATACTGCCTTCTGGGCCAGGAATATAAAGTGTCTAGATCCTTTGGGCTCATTATGAGAAAAAAAAGTATTTTAAGAAGGAGGGAACGGTCAACTGGGTCAAATGCCCAGTACGCCTAAATGTGGACTGAGGAGTGACCATTTGATTTGTCAATGTGGGGATTGTGTTACCAAATAGGAACAGTTTCTGAGGCCAAATCCTGACTGGAGTGGGTTGTAGAAAGAATGAAAGGAGATAATGAAGAGAGTACATTATTAATGAAGAGAAAACGCCTTCAAGGAGTTTGCTACAAACCAGAGTAGAGAAAATCGAGGCTGGCTAAAAGGAAATGTCAGAGTCAGGAGAGGAGTTTTTGGTTTTTAGTTTGTTTTGTTCTGTTTTTATTTTATTTTATTTATTTATTTTTTTCGAGCTAAGATCATTGCTTTACTTTGTGTTTAATACTATGAGTCAATGGATTCCACTTTAGGTTCCTGCTTAAATGTCTGGCACCAAATGGAAGTGTGTTTGGTTTTATACTTACTGAAAGTTCTTATTGCTATTATACTTCTTCCCAGGTAACTTACAGACGGAGAAGTCACTGAGTCTACAAGTTGACAGAAAAACATTTAATATGTAACTAGACTGTGGAGAAAGGTCTGCTGAGGTTCAGAGCCAGATGTACTAGCAGGTCACAGCCTTCTTATCACTAATAAGTCCTCCCTTTTGTAATCAGATGACCTCTTCCCTCTGAGCAGATTAGAGAACTAGTGAGAATTTACAAATGGGAGTAATGGTCTGGGCATTGGTGGGAGCTCAGCAGTCATCTTGGCCAGTGGGCATTTTTTCCCACCAAAATGGCACAAGCCTGGATCCATTGTCCTGAGCCTACATTCTGGAAAAAGAGAGACCACAACATTGCAGAGAAAGGCAACTGTCCACAGCCAAGGGCATTCAGTGCAGGTGGCCCAAGGTGATAGTCCAGTAGCCAAGCTTGGGGAAGCCCTGCCACTGATGAGCCCGGGTTGGACTAGCTCATTTGGCCATGGGGAGGAAGTAAAGGCAAGGCGTAGGCACAGCTGTTCTATTATTGTATGTGTAAGGTGGTCAGCTACCCCCGCCCCAGAGACTATCCATTTCAGTGTCATCCAGGGCTTCTCCCTGAGTGACCTTCAGGCAGGCGTTTCTGCCCACTTTCAGACACAGGGAAACAGACTCATGGAGTCATGTCACCAAAGGCCAGAAGGTCACTGGGTGGCCTTGGGTCTGCTTTATTGACCTCAGAGCACTCTTTGGATGCAGTTAAGACAGACAAACACAATGGGAACTGGAACTGTATCCAGGATAGTGCACCTGACCCCAGAAGAATTTCCCCCCACAAGGTGGATTTATACAAAACGACAGAGGAAAAGACGAGGCAATCTGGCGCTGAGTCCAGGGGTAGCCAGTTGGCAGCGGAGCGGTCAGTGAAGCAGTGGGCTGGTCATTCCTCCTTTTTGTACGTGCGCGTACTCACTACATTGCCGTGGATGAGCGTCAGGATGAGTTTGTCATCCACGAGCTCCCGCACAAGTTTTGTTTCTTGCCCATTCCATTTCTGCACATGGACAAGTTTGCCTCCCTCCAGCGTCACGGTGGACTTGACCTTCCTGTCATCTGCCGTTGTCTCGTCAAACTCCTCCCCCAGCTTAAAGCTGATCTCTGTGCTCTTGAAGGTGCTTTGTGTTTTCAGGGTGATCGTGTCCCCATTTATTTCGAAGATTGTGGTAGGCTTGAGCATAATGGCCACCTGCCTGGTAGCAAAATCCACACCGAGGGACTTCATGTAGTCATCGAAGTTCTTGCTGTCCACCAGCTTCCAGGTGCCTGCGAAGGCGTCCGCCATGGTGAGGCTGGGCTAGGCTGTTGGCGAAGAAACGACAAAGCAGGCGTGGAAGGACTCCGGGACCGTTTTGTTCTGTTTTTAGTATAAAAGATAGTATACGGTTTTTATGTTAGGAAATAATCTGGTAGATCGTGAACAATTAACGACACAGGAGAGAAATAGCATCATTTGAGGAACAAAGTTCTCAAGTAGCTAACAGGGATGGGCTTCGCTGTGCCAGTTGCAGTGTTGGCCTCACATCAGTGTGTGGACATCTGAGTCCCTGTAACAGGAGAGAAGACAGCGTATATGGCACAGGTGCAAGTAATGTGCCATAAAAGTTTTCTCAGCGAGTGAAGTAAGAATCAAGTCACCAGTACAGAGTAAGGAGAGTGTAAGGGTCTTTGGAGGTTTGGGGAGAGAGATGATGGCGGGAAATAGCCATCTAGGAAGGTGAGAAGGGCCGTTTATAGGGAAAAGTAGTAGTATTGCAAGATGGCACTAGAAAGTGTTAAATTCATGTTTCCTCATTAGTGGCTTTCAGAATGTTAAAATATGTGAAAAGATAATTCCATTGGTGAGGAAGATAACTCATGGTTAATTAAGTTTGAATATGCTTGGTATAAAAAATTAAGTATCTTTATTAAAGGACTTCACAGGGTCCTTAATGTGTTACAACAAAATGGTGACTTTCCCAGAAGGGCTAGAGTATGCAATGTTCCCCAAATTAATTTGGTTGTAGGATATTAGTAGGGTTTTATGAAACATGACTTGGAAAATGCTGGTTTAATCACTCATTGATATCCAGCTATGTTTGTTATTAGGGCCTGATAAAGCAGGCCCCTGCTCCTCTGAAGTAGAAATAGAAGTGTCAGGCATTGTCCATCAGAGAACAGGGCTCTAAAAGTAGTAATTGATGCATTTGATGAGACATCCTAGTTGTTGCAGTGCGAGATGCATCGTAGCCAGAACCTTGGGGACTTCATGATTTCCAAGGAGGCCAAGACTAGATGTAAAACTAGATGTGGATTTAAAATAAGTAAAGACAAACAACAATATTAATAAAAAACAAAACTTGAACAATATTTAAATACAAAAGCTGTTTCAACAACCCACTAGTGAAATTACTCCTGGAAGAAAAACCTGGGCCACTGGATATCTTTGCTGGGGTTTTCAGAAAGATGACTCTGGGGTAATCTGAGGCCCAGGGAAGAATCTGTAGACCACATAGGAAAGAGCCTTTCCCACCTTGAGGCATCTCCAAAGGTTCAGGAATATGTCTGTGAAAATGGTTATGGATTACCTAGGACCGTGGTCGGCTAACTGCGACTCGCAAGCCACATGCGGCTTTTTGGCCCCTTGAGTGTGGCTCTTCCTAAGCCTTAGGAGTACCCTAATTAAGTTAATAACAATGTACCTACCTATATAGTTTAAGTTTAAAAAATTTGGCTCTCAAAAGAAATTTCAATTGTTGTACTGTTGATATTTGGCTCTGTTGACTAATGAGTTTGCCGACCACTGACCTAGGACACCTGATGGGAGAGCCCTCAGTACAAGGGCAGAAAGCAGGTTCCTTACTTCTGGAACCTTGAGGGGGAAACCAAAGGTACTCAAGCACAGGAGCAAAATTAGTAAGTGGAGTTTATCATGGGTAGAGTTTTCCACTGCGACAGCAGCAATTTCTAATCTGATTCTACTTTGAGCTGAAGTCTACATAGCTTAGGCTAACATCTAAAACCAATTCTAACTACATTATTAAAAGTTTTCAGTACTATGTGGAAAGGGGATTCAGAAAAATCTGGCTAGAATTAAAATAAAATTTTAATATCTTCAAGTATTAACTTTAACTTGGCTAATTTTGTCATTATCCGCCATATTAGGGGTGAAAAATGAATACACACACACACATACACACCTCGTTTAAAAATTGAGACTGTGCCACATTCTGAAGGTTAGCAAGAAAAGGCCAGTTGAGAAGACTTTCTCGTCACCCAGATTTGGAATAAATGAAAGTAACACCAATAAACAGTGGACACTGCTTTTAAAAAGAAAGGAAAATGTCTTTGCAAGGAAGAAAAGTAAGGTATTATGAGACTTGATCTTGTCCAACCCTGAAAGATCCCAAAGATCTCTCCAAGTAAAAAGTGTAAGTAGCATATATTCCTTCTACAAAATGCTTCTTGGCTCAGCACTGCAGAGGTTTCCCTTTTTCAAAGGCATGTAATTTAAATAGGAAAGCTTGGCCTAGTAGAAGAGGCGTGAGGATATTGAACCCGGAAAGGCATTCAGTTAAAATCATTTAAGAGCATTGAAGTCAAGCTGACCAATGAAGACATCTGCTCTAAGGGGCCATGCTGTGCCCCACCTTTCCACTGAGCTGCTTCCAATATGCTACCTTGTTTTACACATGATTGTCAAGAAGACAGTGAAAGTGCAGGGATGTTATGACAGTTTTTTAACAACTTATTCTCAAGTTCACAATTATATTCTAAATGCCTGTATTGCCAAATACCAAATTTCTGTATAAAGAATTTCAAGGGTTGGGAAGGCAAATAAATGTATATTTTAAACTATTTATAAATATACTAGAGGCCCAGTGCACAAATTTCATGCAATGGGGGCAGGGGGTGTCCCTCAGGCCAGCCTGTATCCTCTTCAATCTGGGACCCCTTGAGGGATGTCCAACTGCCCGTTTAGGCCCAATCCCACCAGAATCGGACCTGAACGGGCAGTCGGACATTCCTCTCACAATCCAGGACTGCTGACTCCCAACTACTCGCCAGCCTGCCTGCCTGATTGTCCCTAACCGCTTCTGCCTGCCAACCTGATCACCCCTAACCACTCCCCTGCCAGCCTGATCAGCGCCTAACTGCTCCTCTGCTGGCCCGATCACCCCCAACTGCCCTCCCCTGCCAGCCCAATTGCCCCCAACTGCCCTCCCATGCAGGCCAACTCGTGGCCACATGGGGTGGCCATATTTGATCACATGGGGGTGGCCATCTTGTGTGTTGGTCAATTTTCATACTGGTCATGACTAATTAGCATATCTGGTCATGGCTAATTAGTGCATCTGGGATAATTAGAATATCCCTCTTTTATTATATAGAATAATGAGTTATTACACGTGAAAATTTTTATAAAATATAGGCAGCTATCATATGGCATTATATACACATGCATATGTTTTATAATCATGTAACATATAATATCTGATAGAATAGGTAACTATATCGTATCTAATAAGAGACAAAAAGGGTAATTAACTACTTCCACTATGCTTCCCATTGGCTAATCAGGGCGATATGCAAATTAACTGCCAACAAAGATGGCGGCCAGCAGCCACACAGCTGAAGCAAACATGAGGCTTGCTTGCTCCAGTGATGGAGGAAGCCAAGGTTCCCCGCCTGCCACGGCCTGGCTCTGAGCCTGAAAGCAACAATGTTTCAATTATAGAAGCTAAACAAACCCCAGATACCTGCTTTCAGCCGGCCACGGTCTCAGAGCTGGAAGCGCCAGTGACGGCAACAATGTTTCAATTATAGAAAGTAAATAAATCCCAGAATTAAAAAAGAAAAAAGGAGAGGCTGGGAGCTTCAGTTGCTGGCCAGCCTGAAAACGGCCCTCAGCCCCTCACCCAGGCAGTCCAGCAGGGAGCCCCACCCTGAAGGGGGTGTGGCCAGCCTGAAAATAGCCATCAGCCCCTCATCCAGGCTGGCCAGGCACCCAAGCGGGGACCCCCACCCTGATCCAGGACACCCTTCAGGGCAAACCAGCCAGCTCCGACCTGTGCACCAGGCCTCTATCCTATATAGTAAAAGGATAATATGCAAACTGACCCTAACAGCAGAAAGACTGGAAATGACTGGTCACTATGACACACACTGACCACCAGGGGGCAGATGCTCAATGCAGGAGCTGCCCTCTGGTGGTCAGTGAGCTCCCACATGGAGGAACTCTGCTCAGCAACAAGCCAGGCTGATGGCTGCCAGTACAGTGGTGGTGGTGGGGGCCTCTCCTGCCTCCTCAGCAGCACTAAGGATGTCTGACTGCAGCTTAGGTCTACTCACTGCTGGCAAGTGGACATCCCCCAAGGGCTGCTGGGCTGCCAGAGGGATGTCTGATTGCCTTCTTAGGTCCAATCCCCTGGGGAGCAGGCCTAAGCCAGCAGGTGGTCATCCCCCGAGGGGTCCCAGACTGTGAGAGGGCACAGGCCAGGCTGAGGGACTCCCCAGTGCACAAATTTTTGTGCACCGGGCCTCTAGTGTATATATAATCAGCATTAAAGAAAATCCTTTATGTTGTTACTTTAGGAAAGCAAGAAGGCACCACAATAGAGAAAAAGAAGGCAAACAAATCAAGAAAAAAAAGTTGTTTTAAGAGCAATTTGAACATTCCTTTAATAAAAATTCCTCACATGCTCTCAAAATTGTCATAACATTTCACCCCCATTTTATAGAATACATGAAAGGAAAGATCATTTCTAAAGGTAGGTCACAAACTAGAGGGGTATGAGCCAAATCCAGTTTGCAAGGTTTGGTCTATGTTTTTTAAAGAACATTTGATTTAGTAATGTCTGTTTTTAAGTTGGGATGTTTCACATAAACAATCATATTTTCCCCTCCTCTTTTCTGACAGAATGTATGCTCTATGGCTCACCTCAGTCCCCATCAGGACTGCCATGCCCATTTACATAATCTGGTCCTGGTAGGCATTCGAGTTTACAGATTCTCTCATGACATCTGGTATCACATGCGGGGATCTATCAGTTTTCAGTGACACACATCTGCTAGGCTTCTCCATCTTAGACAGTGGTACAGATATGGAGAAGCCTAGAAGATTGGAGTTATGTTTCCATGAAACTGAGGGACCAATGAGGACTTGCCATTGCCCTTTGAAAATAAAGCATGAAAAATAAAAGCCAAGAAATATAAACATATAAAATATTCTGGCATTAAAAGATGCTGTCTCCTATCATGAGAGCAAGGGATCATCTTTATGTGAGAAAGAAATCATTGAAAAAATTGATGATCATTTAGATCTGGGGTTTCCAAGGAATTCTAATCTCAAGCTTA